TAGTGTATAAATTACTAATTGTAATTTTAAACGCTCTAATATATTTATATGTTTGAAAATATACACATTATTCTATTTGTTGTAAAACTGAATGGGCACGCTCGCCCTAACAGGCCGTATTTTAATGCTAGATCAGCCCATTTAAAATTTCAGGCCCGCCAAATCCATAAGGTATGACGGGCCGAGCGGGCTGACCTGTGTTTGTGCAGGCCGGTTTAAGCGAGATATATGACATACCTATTGCCATATTTTTGAAAACCTAAACATTTACCTAATTGATGATTTGCAAAAAGGAAATAACTTTTTCTATTTATAGAAACTATTATTTAAAAGGAAACATGATTGAAAAAGTGGACTAGAAAATATTCTTTTCTAATTCTATAATTTTTCACTTCATTAAAAAATTCATATAATAAATTAAGATACTCTCTTCACCTTTAACTAAATGTTATACGGAGTTGTCGGAGTATATCTTTATGCTATACACATAAATAAAGTAATTAGCTTTTGATATATTTATTTAACATTTAGTTAAAATATCCTACATAAAAATTATATAAATAAGAGACGGCTGTAGTATTGTTTTATATGATCAAATATTAAAATCAAATACAAAGTACATTATAGTAAAAAAAAGATTTAATTTGACTTGGTAAATAGTATTATAAATTTGTATTTTGATAAGGAATTACTAATCGGGATTATTCGTGAAATAAAAGTTGAAAGGCTAACGATACATGACACAACAACTTAAAAGGCCAATTGTATAATTTAGCCTATTATAAATATAGGCACGCAAAAGTACAATTCATTCCTTTTTTTATCAAGCCTAATATTTGACCAAAAATATCTCTTAAAATATACGTACTCCCTCCGTCCTAAAGTGGATATGATTGTTACTATTACAGTCTCTTGGTAACTTTTGTTTGCTTGTATACTTTCATTCATAATTTGATAATATAAAATATTTTTGCAACCTCTTATTTTATAGATTTTTTTGTACTTTTGAACAGCGTAACTTATGCATTTTATTTCAATATTAATTTGTAATTAAAATTATTTTAAAAGTGATAAGGTTTTACTCATTAAAACTATGACATCGATTATGGGACGGGGGTATTAACAAATAAGTATTAAAAATATATACCCTCCATTCTTGAAAACGTATGCTTCCGTCTTAATTTTTTTGCACCTCATATAATAATTTTATTTCTAGCTAATATGTCTAAAATACATCTCATTATGTAGTTTATTGCGGTTAGAATATATTTTGGAGGTATTTTAGACATTTTAGGTAGAGTAAATATATTTTATGGGGTTCTAGTACATTAAAAGTATTTTCAAGAATGGAGGGAATAGCACGTTAAAAGTATTTTTTTGATACGAGTAATTTGGTATAACTTTTATATTAAAATTAGTTATAAATTTTTATATATAATTAGTCAAATAGTGGAACATGCACACAATATTTTTTGAGGAATTTACCTAAATAGCACTAAAACATACTACCTCCGTCCCACTCTCTTTGTCCACTTTTGACTTTTGGAACTGTTCATCTAAGCACTTTGACCCATCAAATTCTCTCAATGTGTAAGCCTAAATATAGTCATGTGTGATCTTGTTTGATTTGTCTTAACATATAGATTATTAATATATAATTTCTATAATTTTTTAATATACAAATTATAAGATAAAATGGATTAAAGAAATGCATTGGATGGTGTGCCAAAAAGTAAGTGAACAAAGAGAGTGGGACGGAGGGAGTAATGACTTTCCCTAAATAGCACAACATGTATTTTTCTTCTCAATGTAGTACTTTTAGTCATTATGCATTAGTCATTATTCAAGCAAATATTCGTTATCACTGGACATTATAGTCATTATTAAATGCTATTTAGGGAATAAAATAATTTAAGTACTATTTAGAGAAATGACTTATGTTTTAGTGCTATTTACTGCAAATATTTCATATTTTTTTGGTATTAGATTCAATGTGGTTAAATTGCGGGAAAACAAGCTAGTGGGCATGCACTATAATATGCTTTCCATTTTGGGGCTTCAATTATGGAGTTTTGAATTGTAAAATTTGCACTAAATAGAACTAAAACATTATGCATTTCTCAATGTATGACTCAAACTTTTTTATTCCCTAAATAGGACTTAATAATGACGTAGTGGTAAGAATAATGTCCAGTAATGATGGACATTTACTTGAATAATAACTACATGATAATGACCAAAAGTCCTACATTGGGAAATAAAAATATATGGTCTTATATTAGAAAAATCATTATGTTTTAGTCCCATTTAGGTAAATTTCTCTTTTGAATGACATGTATACTTCAAACAAAACATGTAAAAAGATATTTTTTTTCAAAAATGTGAAAGTACCAAAAATATTACTATCTGCTCCTCCGTATACCCTAACTTTTGCTTTAGCCATTTACATACAGAGTATAGTAAAAGGCCACGGTGCTCGGCACAAAACTGATCACTATATATTTTAATCATCATTGTTACTTTTTCCAATCTTAATTAAAATTGTATATTTATTATTTATCAGATCAAACTTTAGTCACGTTTTTGACTCATTTATCTTTGCTATCTATTTGAAAAATATTATAGTCTTATCACCTTTAATTTTGTACGGAGTAGAATTTTTTGTATAATTTTTAATTTTTTTTAAATCCTTACCAATTTTTAAAGAAAATTAATTGAAAATAACTTCATTCATAAACCTCGTAATGGCTAAAATCCACCATTGGTCCTTAAACTTTATGAGTTATGCACGATTAGTCCTTCAAATTTCAAAAGTCATGAATAGTTTTTTAAATTTATGAGTTGTGCATGATTGGTCCTTCAAATTTTAAAAGTCCATAAGTAGTCCTTTAAGTACACGTCAGCCTCCTGACGAGATCCTTTTGACAGTAAATATTAAAATTAAAGCTAATAAATGGAGCACTAGTTCCATATAATACGAGTAAATTTCACTAGGTATGGCTACTCTGTATAATATGAATCGAAGTTAGTACTCCATTTAGCTTTTAGCATTTACCATCAAAAGGACCTCATCTGAATGGTTGATGTGTACTTGAAGGACTATTTATAGACTTCTGAGACTCAATGGCCAATTATGCACAAAAATAAGAAATAATCCCTCCATTCCATAAAATCTTTCCTCTTTCGTTTTTTTGAATTCCCTAAAACACTTCCACTTTCAATTAAAAAACTACTTTCACCCTTACTTTTTCATATCCTACTTATCACATCATACTTTTTCACTAATAACTAAAATATTACATCTTACTTTTTTACCATCACATTAGGACCAAAATTGGAAAGTCATCCAAAATTACAATTTTCTTATTTTTGTCATAAGTCAAAAGTGGAAGAGTTTAAAAGAACAGAGGGAGTATAATTTCATACTCCGTCATTCCCAAAAACTTTTTCTCTTTTTTCTTGTCCTACAAAATCCTTCATATTCATATTAAAAAATCACTTTTACCCATATGAATTTTTACACTACCTATCACATAATATCTTTTTACTAATAATCTATCAATCATACTCTATTTTTACCTATCACAAAAAGGGTATTTTTGGAAAACGAATACAAAATATCTCTCTCTTAAATTTCCCAAAAATGAAAATGGAAATATCTTTATGAGACAGAAGAAATAATATATTGTGTATTCAATATATTTTGGTCTCCTTGTTGCAACAAGGAAGGTATATTTGTTCATGGTGAGCATAACCACGATTAGAATTCACCATTCATTAAACTACCATATAGGAGGATAAGATAGAGTATACGTGTAAGGACAACACAAAACTATCACTATGAGTTATATAATCTTTGTTTGGAAAGTCTTAGTATTGAAGTGTCTACGGGGTAAGGGTACTAAGTATTGTTGTTTATAGAATAGTGTTAGTGGCATCTAACTAAAACTACTGGCCCTAAAGTGATAAAAGTAAAAATATATACCATTAATAACATAATGAAGCCATTAGTGCATGCACATGCACAACTAGGCTATAATGTTGGTATCCCTTTGTGAAAAGCATAACAATTTGTAATGCTATGAAGAAAAAGAGCAGCAAGTTTAAATTAAAATCTAACTCAGTTAATAACTAGATTAAGTCATTCATATTAGTTATGCTGGTCACACTTTAGAGAATTAGGAGAAAGATTAAATAAAGGGGTAATATGTAATTTGAATATTTGTAAAATAGTAAAATAAAATATTTTGGAATTTTAATACGTACTACCTCCGTCCCTAAATAAACTTCCCTTTTTGACTTTTTGAGGATTTTAAGAAGGAATATTTTTGTGTTGATTTTCCAAAAATACCCTTGATGTGATGTGTAAAAGTAAGATGTGATATATAGATTATTATTAAAAAGGTAGGATGTGATAGGTAGGGTATGAAAAAGTAAGGGATAAAAGGGGGTTTTTAAGGAAAAAGAGAAGTTTATATGTGGACAATAAAAAAACGAAAGGGAAGTTTATTTATCGACGACGGAGGGAGTATATGTATTTTATTCCGTTCATATGTTTAAATTTATTATACACCATATATTATTTGGGTCAGGTTCTATGACTACTCTGTTTGAATGGCCACAGAGAACACTGAAAGTAAAACCTACGGTATTTCGTTCGTAAAAATTGATAGTTCTACTCCTAACTCTCAGTAAATCCCTCCAACTTTATTGTTTGTTAAAGAAGGTGGTGGTGGTCCTCAGCTCTTAAAAATTTTAACAATACAATTTCAAATATTTTTTTTGTCATTTTGTTTATTACTAGCCTGTAATAGTTATATCTGGCCAAAGTGACTTTTACTTTGGGATGGGATAAAGGGGAATTAGTTTCCATGTTTATTTTGATTAAGTACATTTGATCGATCATCTTATCTATCTGTCCAAAAATTATATATATATATATATATATATATATATATCCTTGATTGTAACATGCCTAGTAGCTTAATAACCATATCTTAGCATCTTTCTTAGCAGCTTGTCGAACGGGCAAATTAGTCTCTCTTCCAATAATGGCTTTTCTTCATCATCATCTTTTTCTAATAATAATTATTACCATTTTTCTCTCGGGAATGGCATATACTAACAGCTCCCATAATTATAACATGTATCATCGGCATTCCGAAGAAGTCACTCGAGTCTTGGGCGCCGCGGGTTTGCCGGCAAAGGGCACGGCGGAATATTACTCGGCATGGGCGGCTTACGATCAACGCCGCCACCTCTCTTCCTCCCACCGGAACTTGCCGGCGTTCACCTTTGCCGGTGGCGATATCACCGAGAACATTATCAACCTGGCAAGGTACGTAATTAGTAATTTAAAAAAGGTTAATTACTTACGCACATTTTATTCCGATATTTCTTAGTTATATGAATTACTCCGCAATTAATTAATCTTTACTATGTGTAGCCTCCAGTATGCCCTTGTATATGTGGGTACCCCTCCGGTGCCATTTTTGGTGGCACTTGACACCGGAAGTGCCACATTCTGGTTGCCATGCGGCTGCAACGACTGTGCCCGCTCCTTCCAGAAATCACACGGAGAAGTACGTATACATGTAAAATATATTCATTCCTCAGTATATATATCACAACATTTTCTACGTACGGACTAACCAAATTAAACATGTGCATGTATGTATTATGTTGTTAATTAATTGCCGCATGCAGCAAATAAACCTCTACTCGTACAACTACAGTGCGTCACAAACGAGTGAGGTTGTTCCCTGTGGTAGCCCCTACTGCTTCCCCCCCAAGAGAGAGGACTGCCCTCTCCGCGCACCCGATAACTACCCATGCCCCTACGAAGCCGACTACATGGCCAAGAATACTTCGTCCAGGGGCATTCTCGTCAAAGATGTTATGCACATCGAAACCTACGACGACAACCGCACCCGTAGCAGCGCACCCGTCATATTGGGGTGCGTATTCAACCGAGTCATCAATTCATTCAGTTTAGTTGTTTATTATTGCTTCAATTCTAATCCCCTCTATTTGTTTTGTTGTTTTTTTTAGATGTGGAAAAGTAGAAACAGGTGATTTTCTGGACGTGGATGCGGTCAACGGGCTACTTGGACTGGGGTACAGTGCGCTCGACGTCACAAGCCTCCTATCGTCCCAAGGTTTGGTTCGAAACTCGTTCTCTATGTGTTTCGCACCAAACGGGTACGGTAGGATCGCTTTCGGGGATAAAGGCGACGATGACCAGATATTCACCCCAATATTACCTACCTTTGATAAAAGGTAATTAAGTTATTAGAAAAATTAAACATACGTAACGTAACAACAATTATGAAAATTCAGATTTTACCTATGTCATGTGGTGTTTCATGTTTGTTTTTTTGAATGATGCAGCCCTTATTACAACATTGAGATAGAGCACATATCTGTGGATAATGTTGTAATCAATGTTTCGCTGGTTGCCCTTTTTGACTCCGGCACCACTTTAACCTACCTGACCGGAGAGGCATACACCTTGGTCACCAAAATTGTGAGTTTCGGGTGACATTATTCTATTTCAACTTGAACACTAAAACTTATTCACTGAATATCTTTATTTGAATGCATGCAGTTTAATTCTTTAATTGTGAATGCCACTCTCAGTCCAATACCCGTGGGTCCTTTCGAGCATTGTTATGTTGCAAGGTGCAGTGTGTGGATATATATATATATATATATATATATATATATATGAAAAAATATATGTGCGTACACCCTCATTTACTTATTTATAGATTTCTTTTTTCCTATGTTGCAGGAATGATACCTCATTACAGGCTCCATCCTTAAGCTTCAGGACAAAAGGAGGGGCTGATTTCCATGTTCTCACCCCCATTAAACTAATAGACTTCCAACCATTTAGTGGAGTACGTGAGATACGGAGTGTATAAAATATTATTATTATTATTAATAGTAATAATAACAATAATAATAATAATAACAATAATAATAATAACAACAACAATAATAATAATATATAATGCATACGAATACCATTTTCTATTTTAATTTCTTCATCCCAAAACAAAAGTTCATTATCACTTTATTGTTCGTTACCTCTTAAAGAAGTTGTGGTGGCCAGCAGCTTTTTTTTCCTTCAAATAAATTATAACCATACATTTTAAATTTTTTGTCATTTTGTTTATTACTCCCAACTAGGTAAAAGTAACTTTTACTTTGGGTTGGAATAAAGGAGAATTAGTTTCTATTTTTACACTATGCACTAATTAAAGATTTTGCTTATTTTGATTGTAGTGGGGTGAACAAATTTTCTGCTTCGGTATTGTCAAAAACGAAATCAACACCCTCAACATCATTGGACGTAAGTATATTTTCTCATCTTGTATTTATGTCATTATGTGATTGTAAGAATTAAAATATAAACATTATATTAAGTTCTTAGGTTTGAAAAATATTTTTGATAAATTACTTTTAATATATTTTTGTTAATACGGAGTATATTTCAAGAAAAGAGAAAGAGACAATTACTCGTATTTGGGTTGGGCACTTACACCAATAATTTGCTTAGTTTATGCGAATTAATTTGATTAATTAATTGTTTGTTTGCTTTATTATTTGCTTATAATGCGAATTAATTTAATTAATTGTATTTCGATCTAGACAATTTCATGACGGGGTACCGAGTCGTTTTTGATCGAGAAAAGTTAATACTTGGCTGGAAATCATCAGATTGTAAGAAACACATCATCTCCAAACTCATCACAAATTACTTTGTTATTTTATTCCAAAGTTGAATTAAGTATATTTTCTTTATTCTATTTTGCAGGTCAACGAAAAGAAGCCAGAACTGTAGCCTCCGATGCATCTAAGTTACCCATTATAGAGAGCGTGCTACTTTTTTCATTAATTTCAGTTTCCATTCTCACATATTATTTCGCAATGTAATGTAACTTATTTGATTCTCTATATGAAAACAATGATCTTTACCTCGGACAGGAGGTCAATATAATCATGCAGGGAGAACTTCTAGCCTAGAGCATATTCATTCCTTATTAGATAAATTACTATGTGATCTTTCAAATTATAATTCAAAGTATATTCAAAATTTTCATTTTTTAACCAAAAATTTAAATTTTGAAATTATATTTTTATAATAAATATAATACTCCGTAGACCGTAGTACACTCTTGTTTACAACTCCCTCCGTCCTTAAATAAACTTTCTCTTTCGTGTTTTCTGTCCCCAAATAAACTTCTATTTTTCCTTAAAAAACCCTTTTACCTCTTACTTTTTCATACCATACCTATCACATTATACTTTTTTAGTAATAATCTACATATCACATTTTGCTTTTACACATCACATCAAGGGTATTTTTGGAAAGTCAGCACCAAAATATCCCCCTCTTAAATCGTCAAAAACGGAAGTTTATTTAGAGACGGAGGGAGTACGAAATAATCGATCGATCTCTTGACCCAAATTAAAAATCTTATAAACTCACTTCTTCACGAGTAGCTTAGGGAGTTGTTTGGATACCGAGCAATATTATTATTGTCTTTCAATAATTCAATTCATACTTTATTATTCTTAAATAACATGAAAAAACAATGGCGGCCTTAATATTAATTAAGATGCCAAAAAACAATAATCTAAGAGATGCATGTTTCCCAACATTGGCAGCTAGCACACAGATAATATAGTGTAGTACTTAATTATTTCGGCCAGCAGCAGCAAAAGCCACGCGGATCATGGTCGTAATGCATACAGACTCCTTGGGCACCTTTCTGGCACGGGTAGTTAACACAATCAGGGTTTGTGAAACATTTTACCCCAGTGCAAAGTTTAATTGGCATAAACAAAGCATTCTCCGGAGTGTTTGCAATCCACGATCCTTCTACAACATATTTACAACAACAACAACAACAAAATAAACAAATTGATATTAGCTATATGGATTGATTACACATAGCAGGTATCAACTAAGGGCAAAAGAATACACGGAGTAATGCATATAATATAAACTCCATCCTTTCGTCCCAAAATTATTAAATTATACTGATTTGATTTAATTTGTTGGCATTATTATATATAACTAAAAATGAAAGCAATTACGGAAAGTGTGTGTGTGTGTGTGTATTATTTGTGTAATAACTAAATTGTAGAGTATATCATCCCATTGTATACATTAATCAAACTAGATGAATACCTTAATTAATACGGAGTAAATAAGAATAGTGTATTGCATACTAGCATAAAAATGCTTTCAGTAAATTAAACTTACAAAAAACTTTCAATATTTTATTTCACTATGTTAATATACACTAACAATTTACTACGGTAGAATATTAAAGTTTGGTTTGAATGTTTGATTTATGAAACAAAACTAATCGAATACTGAGTGCATATATTTTTCCATAATTTTTAGGACAACGGAAGTGTGTGTGTGTATATATATATATATATATATATATATATATATACACACACATACATACATACATACATACGTCATAAAGTGTGTATTTTTTTTGAACAAATGCACAGATATATTCCACTTCAAAACAAAACTGTTAAGTACAAACACCCAAAACTAAACAGCATAACAAACTACCTACTTGATGACATTGTCCTTTTAATTTGAAATTAATATATAGCTATTCAAAGTAAAATTAATTCAATCAAGTGTCTTGATATATAAATCTAGTTACACACGTTTCACACTATGCATGTTTTGTTGACTTAATTACAGTGTGGCATAAAAAATCAATTGGGTTTGACTGAGATAATATATATAGATGGCTATACATACCATCAGCTGATGAGAGAGCAATTGCAATCAGAATGGTTAGAACAAATAGATTGAAACCAAAGCCACGATACAAACCACCCATTCTTTGATCACTGTTTCTTAATTCACCTAATAATATAATAGTGCTAATTATTAATTCTGGTTAATATATAGTACTCCGTATATATATGTGTTTGTGTACTGTAAAATTGCTGAAATTCATTTGAATTTCATACATGCATGCTGCTATGGCTAAACGTTTATGTTTTTTCCACTTTTAGAAGCTATTACCAATAGTAGGTCAAATGCATGCATTAATGTTTTACTCCATATTATTTTTTTAAAAAAATATGCATCCAAAGGAAATAAATCAATAACATATCTCAATTCAATAAATTACCCCCCTTTTGTCCATATTCAATCAAATTATATCTTCTTCATGCAATCCCTTATCATTTTTACGATAATACTCCCCCCGTCCCTAAATAAACTTTCATTTTTGACTTTTTGAGGATTTAAGGTAGGGATATTTTGTGTTGATTTTCCAAAAATGCCCTTGATGAGATGTGTAAAAGTAAGATGTGATAGGTAGATTATTAGTAAAAATGTATGATGTGATAAGTAGGATATGAAAAAGTAATGGGTAAAAGGGGTTTTTAAAGGAAAATAGAAGTTTATTTAGGGACAAAGAAAAAACGAAAGATAAAATTTATTTAGGCACGGAGGGAGTATAAGCTAAGGTGTGTTTGGATATTGGCGTTTTCACTTCGCCTTTAACTTGTTTCACCAAATTTAAGTGACATGACGGACAAATAAACAAAATGTAATTTGCATATTATTTGAATTGATTTTGGCTTTTGAGATGGCATTTGGTTGGTAGCTTTCACCAATTTTGGCTGATTTGATTACATATATAAACAGCTAAAATGGGTGTTTAGAAGTTGCTTCTTGGGATTGACGGGTTGAGTAGTCTTTCCATTTGGCTTTGGATAAAATGAAATATTTTTATTATTTGTCCTCATATGCAATTTTATTTGAATGAATAAAATTAATATTTATTGCATATAAATAAACAAATATTCTTGCTTCTCCAAATTATAATTTCATTCAGGGATTTATGAGTTTTTTAAATTAATTTTACTTGAAAATGGACTACTAGCTAGAATTTAAAAAAATTGTACGAGATTGAATGGGAGATTGACGATTGGAACAAAGTGCTAGGGAGGGAAGTTTGAGCGGGAACTGGGATTCATCAAACGAGATATCCCCGGTATGAAAAAAAAACTATGAGTTTCAAGGTCATAAACCATCTACCTCTTTGCACTATATGGATAACCAACAAACATTTAACATTTTTGGGAGAAAATTTGTTTGGAGGTTTGAAGGCATGATGAACAAAGCAATTACTTCTACTTCCCTCCATTTTTTTCCAATTTTTTCTAGTTTTTTTTCTAAATTTTCCATTAATTTCCAACTACTCTCATTTTATTCATACTATTTTTACTCTCCAAACAATTACTCTGATCTAAAGATGATGTACTTTTAATGTGATTATTATTATTCTCAGCATAATAATAGTAATAACAATAACAATAATAACTAGTATTACCTTCATTATTATTACGTCTATTATGTTCATACATATAGTTTATAAACTATTTTTTCCATGTCACTATTGTTATATTAGGATTCACACTCTTCTAAATTGATATGAGGAAAATATTTTTCAAATTTTTATTATAAAATTTTTTAAAAGATACTAAACTATTTTAGAGAAAAATACTAAACTATGAGTAAAACATAAAAATGTACCAAATGTGAGTTCTATAAATTGTATTCCCAAAATAAGAGTTACAATGAAAATACATTGTCAATCATAAAACAAAAAATAGATTTGATCATATTATGTGACAAGTCTGATATTTAAAACAAAATCTTGTAATATATAAATATAATTACATTTATATTTTTATAATAAATGATGCATAAATAAATTGAGGTGTAACGGAACAAAAATAACCTTTTAAAATTTAAAATTTCAATATTTATGCTAACTTTATATTCTAAATATATCTTTTTGAAAGTATACTTTTGTGTACAAAAAAAGGAAATACTTTTTTATCTTAAAGACATTGATTACGATAACCTGATTATGAATATAATAATAATAATAATAATAATAATACTAATAATAATAATAATAATAATAATAATAAATTATAACAACAACAATTAGAATGGGAATAATATAAAAATAAACTTAAATAAATTTTTTATTGTTTTTAGATTTTTCAATTTTTTTCAATTTCCATCTGATTTCTTTCAATTTCTTCTAGTTTTTTGTAGATCCTTCTAGTTTTTCTAGTTTCTTCTAGTTTTTTCCAGAATCTTCCAATTTTTTCCAACATCTAGCTCTTTTTCTTCGAGTCTTAAAGCTAAGAACAAACCCTAGTTATTGGGCTTGTATTATTCAATCCGCACCAAAAAGATCTTAGCATTGAGATTTAAATGTTTGACTGAAATTATTTTTAATTTAATTTATTTTAAAATTGCAGTAAAAATTAAAAAATAAAATTATACGGAGTATGTTTTAATCTCAAAAGATATACGGATATAAAACAATTAAACAATGGTGATATAACTGTGCTCGATCTATACAGAGTATTGTTTTGTCAAATGCTCAAAAGAAAGAAATGTTGGGAATTAAACATACAACACACACAGATATCTGCGAGAATCAAGAGAGAAACGGAAAACAAACGACACACAAGAATTTAACGTGGTTCGGTTTCCCTAATCCACGGCTGCAACAGGAGGATTTTCTTATTTCACTTGTGGTGCCGATTACAAGTACAAGTATGCAATATATATAGGAAGAGCGCAACTAGGGTTACAACAAACGGGCCGGGCCTACAAATTAAGCCCAAGCCTCCACAAACCCAACATTCTCCCACTTGGAGGCTTGATAGTCATCAACTGCCATCCGCCGCGATTGCTTGTACATCGAGTAATCTTCCTCAGCTCTCCTGTTGCAGCGGCCCTCTCATCAGACAACTGAAAGGCCTGTTGAAGCTCTCCCAAGCTCCAACACATCAGTCACGGCAAAATCTACCACTGACTCGTCCTCGGTCCCTACCGGCTCCCACTGTAGGCGCACACTGCCGGATCCTGGAACATCCTGAGAACAAACACTCTCCGTACTCAGCAAGAAATTTT